AAGACTAATTAACATAAAAATTACGTTGACTGACACCTAACATGGTGTTATTGGCAAATCGAAGAGAATTTAAAAAATCCTAATGTTTTAAATTTTAATGTTTTTTTCCACAATCTCAATAAATCACGTTTATTTACACGTATCATTTCATAAAACGCAGCTAAGTTTATTATATTCTAATGAATTTTGTGTTTTATATTTATTGGAAATAGGTGATGGAATAAAAAACAATCTGCTCGAAATTCCTTTTAACTTACGCTTTAATATTATTTGGAACGCTTGGAAGGCATTCCTGCACAGTTTGAAACATCCAGAATAAAAAGGTCAATGACGAAAAATTTGTCCCGTACCCTCAGACCCAATCGGTCCTATTCTTTGTCTAAACAAGCCAAGGAAGGGATGCAGCTGCACCCTCTTGACTTGTATCTCGAAACGCGAAACGCAACACACGCGTCGATGGTTTTTGTCAAGGAAAGAAATTTTCTCTTTTTGAAGAGACAAACCAACAATATTTTTGTACATTTTAATGAACAAGTTTGCAAAAAGTTCCAGCAACAGAGAAGGAAATGTTTGTAACCCGTACAAACGTGAAAGTGTTGATATAGAAATTAAAATTGAAACAATAAATAAAAATAAAATAACATCTATGGATCCTCGTCTTCACGCACCTGTACGAGTCCCAGGGTCTTTTTTGTCGCATTTCGAATACCGCCTCCACTAGAAAGCTGAATTCACAATACCCGCTTATAGTAATCAAAGAGTAGCACCTGTTCAAATGAAGTAATCAACGCGATAAGAGTAAACGCTCGAGTTAATGAAAAACTGTCTTGAAATATAAGTTTAAACATTTTGTTACGCAATGTGTTCAACTTCGTTTTTTCGAATGATGGCAAAAAAAAGTTTGTTAAACATTTAAAACGAACTATTGAAAGACGATGTGTAATAAATGTTTTGAAAGCTATTCGTGCTGCATGAACTAAAGCATTCGGTGGACATTTATCACGGGTATTGATTATAACGCTGTTTCTTTCATTCTTCGGTATTCACCGTTTGGTTTGCTCTGTAGGTAGGAAATCCTGTGATTATTCTACGCAGCGTATTTTATTAAAGTATGTGTAACGATAATCTTTTCAAGGGTACTAGCGCATACGTGTTCTTTTAAGCCATTCTGGGCAGTAATTACTAAAATTGCGAATAAATGTTCGTAATTAACTCTTCGCGGTGTTTGTGAGTGTACTAAATAAATTTATTGTTTTGTACGTCGGAAAATCATATCGTAAACAAAATATTTCGATCGCGATGAAGGTAGTATGCGGGGCTTGATAATAGTGCTTAAATTTATTATTTTTATTTATTCAACGACACCCCGATCGGTTGTCAACGTCCTAAACTGCAATTTAGACTCAATTCGGTTACCGACTGTCGCACGAATGCATAAAAGTGCCGATCGTGGATAGAGCGCGCTGCAGTCAAAGGGTTAAACAATTTCTCTAATTGTCCCTAACAGTGCATAATATAAAGAGACGCGCATATCTGGTATTAATAAATCGCTCAGAAAGCGCGTACGTTTAAATAGCGAAGGTTCATTATCGTAATATCGTGTACGGTACGATGAAACCGACAATTATGTAATTATATAGCTGATTATCTTCATGAATCACGCACATGATGCGTCTGTGGCTGGTACAAAGAGAGGCGAATTAGCATTTGATTGTGACGGTAATCTTTCGTAAAAACGCCAGCGAATTAACGCTAATGAAACATTTTAGCGAAGGGAGGGGGACAGGTTTAATTGTTGTTAAAAATATAGGTTCGATAGGATCTCGAGCAGAGCTTGTATCGCGATTATCCGTATCTTCAACGAGCTGTAATAATTGGCCGAGCACAAGCTAGGTCGGTCGGTGCGTTTTCTTCAAGGTTAGTCGAAAGCCCCTGGCGCTGAGTGGGTCGGTGAGCTGAAAAATCGATACGTACGAAAGTGAGAGTCTCAGCCGTTTCACCCCTCCTTTTCGTTCTTTACGCTCCTCGTCCTCTTCTTACTTGCCATTTGGTTCATTCATGTTGCGTCGCGCAGGGCCGTGTGGCTCTCGTCAGATTTCGCGATTTCGCGCTCGTGAGAGCACGTCGAGTCAATTAATCCTCGACATCGCCTCTGTTTCTGGATACGACGTAAATAGCCTTCGTTAATATATTCGCAAAGTATTCGACCCTTTGCTGCCATAACCTCGAAACGAACCGTAACTCTGGCCACGGCAAACGATTTCTGGGACGAAGTTACCCAAAGAAAATGTCGATCTTGATCTTTCCCTATGTTCTTCGAGCAAAAACATCACCGACAGCCGATATGTAGAGGCTCGTATTAATATTCGAACCGAGACAGTGGTACATATTTCTATTCTCGGAACGGAAACTCCACCGTTTCGAATAATTCCAAATGTTTTATAACCTTTAATAATTTTATCATATTCCGTTTAATTCTTATTCTACTTTAAGTATTTTTGGTAATCGATAAATAAATAAAAGTAAAATTAATTATTCCAGAAATTTAATCTAATTTTATTGCGATATCAATTCGTAAGAGTCGTGTCTTTTACTCCCGACTCACGCTGTGTACATTTCCTTCTCGTCTTGGGTTTTCTGTAGGCGTCGTCCCTTTTGACGATCAGTCGCCGACGCTAAGAAGTTCCCGACCTAAATCCTGCGCTTATATACTCCGTCTGCTTTCTTCGTCCACGCCGTATTTTTATCCTGAGACTCATACATAAGATAATCAATATCATTTGAGTCGTTTCCTTGTTCCTAACGAGTTCATAAACTCCCACACACGTTAAGAAACGTATCGTTCCAGGTGAAATTGAAACACAAATAGGGATCACAGACCTAACGATTTTTCGTACGATAACGATTTGGGAAATATTTAGATAAAAATGGCAATTGTTTGCATTCGAACGATTTTAATAGTTACAGAATTTTAGTTATTTTATGAAGTAATAGCATTGTTGCAAACGGAGAAAGTATTTATTCGAATAACAGGAGACGAGATACTCGGTTACCCTAATTCAACAGAAAAAAGAAAACTGATATCTCGTTATCCGTAGGCAACGTTAGATAGGAAAAGACAAATAGAAAAATGCTGATAGGGCTGTGTTACGAGGACAATGCAACAACCAAAGCGAATTACGTTAAATTCAGCACGTACTCGATACTCGCGTTTAACTTTCGCCGTTGACACGTGGAGCACAAAGAGCCCACCGCGTGTACGCCGGTATTCGCAGCAGTTAATCGATAGGTTATTTTGCACGTGTGTTAGGAACAAAGGAAAAATAAAAATAGTACTCGGTTAATTGGATTTGTCGAATTTCTTTATTTGCTTTACCGTCGGAATTTAGAACAACCGTCCACCGTTCGACGATTCGTTCTTTGCTCTGCAATTGCACGTGTTTCCACAAAATAGCCAGTAAGACAAACGTGTAGCAATTTATTTGTTTATCGCGGTATATCTATAATTGAAATTTTAATGGCAACGACACTGAAGTCTTCAACCTCTTCAGGAATACGAACATTCGTCATTACATTTTTCATATATGTTGTCGTATATCATGTCATGATATGATAGTTAGTTATTGGATATACATATAGGATGCTCAGTACCAGGTTGAATTTTCGTTAATTTCAAAGAAAATGATTCAATAGTTGTTAAACTGATATACAACATGTATAATTATTTTTATCAACATCGTAGTCTATAGACCCTCGCCAAAACGTAGAAACTTATAATTAGAAAGAGGGGCTGGAGTTATTAAATTAATTATTAAATTAAAAAAATGTTAAAGTGTATTTCATGTGGTTAAAGCCAAATTTCACCAATTTAAAAATATTTCCTATACAGGGCGTTCAGCCACGCCTGGGAAAAATTGTAATGGGAGATTCTAGAGGACAAAATAGGACGAAAATCAAGAATACCAATTTGTTGATGGAGGCTTCGCTAAAAAGTTATTAACGTTTAAAGTTCCAACGGTACTGAATTTTTTTCTTGAAAATGTGCAGGATTTCGGGGGTACGTCTATTGACCAAAAATGATTGTAATTGACCCCTGCAATCGAAAATAATTTTTCCAGAACGATTTGAAATTTGTTTTTTTCGCCGAAAAATTTAGGCAGCCTCTACCTGTCGATTTTTCTTACAAATTCGTTTTTGATTTTTAGTAATTTTGTTTGACGCCCCACAGAGAAGTTGTTTAATACTTTTTTGTAGGTACCCATGAACTCTTCTTCAGAAAAAAGTTTCATTGAAATATATTCATTATTGTAGGAGTTATGGCTGTTTGAAAATTGGACCATTTTTATGGGGTTTTCTCTATACGTATTCTCTACCAAAATACGCGTAGTTTGCTTTTTTAAACATTAAAATCGTCCAATCCGTTCAGGTGTTATGACGTTTTAAAGATTCGTATGAAATTTCGGGGAACCATTAGATTTTCGGTAAGGAATTTTGTTCTCGATACTGCGTAGGATTTGAAAAATTTTTTTCCCGCCGAAAAATTTCAGCACCTACCTGAATTTTTTTCTCGAAAGTGGGTAGGATTTCGAGGGTATATCTATTCACCAAAAATGATTGTAATTGACCCCCGGAATCAAAAATAATTTTTTCAGAATGATTTTAAAATTTTTAAATTTAATTTTTTTAATAACTTTTTAACGAAGCCTCAGTCAAGAAATTGATATTCTTGATTTTCGTCTTATTTTGGCCTCTAGCATCTCCCATTAAAATTTTCTCTGGGGTGGCCGAACATCCTGTATAATTATGCGTTGTAATACACCTACAATTTTAATAAATAACCAACCCCTTCTTCAAGTCCCACTAGCGTTACATTTATTGTCTATGACGTATATAATCTGTATAAACGTAAGATAAACGTAAAATAAAATAACATTTAATAAAAATGTTTGAAAACGAGACCGTAAGTTTGCTAACGATGGATTTTTATTTTTGTTCAACAGTGGTGCCGGATCCAAGGTTCTTGTAAGCAATTTTCCAGGTTACGCCAAATTGGATGATCTCGAAGTACTGTTTGCGAGCTGCGGTCAAGTGCAGTCCGTTGAGAAGTTGTCCTCGCGTGATCCTAACACACAAACCGCCCTCGTTAGCTATGAGACGCAAGAACAAGCACAGCAGTAAGTAAACCATATTTTTTTACAGATTACGAAACAGAATTGTTGGTTCGATAAGCCCCGTTTACAGTGACACAATTCATATTTGTTACAATATTAGTAATTTGAGTTATTCGTGTTTCGTCAGAACTAGAGAATCTAAGTTTGAAAGAGATTGTACTTTGTAATAGATATTAACACAAGTAGGCCATAGTATAAAAAAATAATAAGATAACTACTGTAAGCTTTGACAAATATTTCTTTCTACTGGGAAAGCGTAATAACGTCAGATAAAATTAGTTTCATTCGCCAAAATCTAGTTATATTCCAGATTAGAAAACGCAAGTAAATTATTGATGATATAAAAAGGTGTACTATAAATTTCAAATTTATATCGCAAAAATCAGTCGTTCAAATTTTAATGCCTGTAATACAAAACGTCTGGTTCTCGATGGGTCGAATAAAAACTTTTCCAATTTTTCTGTTTGTACCGTTGAAAATTTGATGAAATAATATTCCGTGCTCTGTTGTTCTTAGTTTGTCCGTGTATTGGGTCGCAGCGTAAAGTGCACTTTTTCCAGTGAGTCACGGTTAGAAATGTTTGAAAGTTACCGCTCTAGACATACGATAGCACTCTCTGGGAAAAGAGGTTTCTCGCGTTTGTTTTATATATGAGCTTCGATATTTTACGGACTTTTTTCCATTTATAGGGCTGTGAACGAGTTTAATGACTACGAGTACGGGGGTAACGTGCTAAAAGTGGAAATGTCTACGGCGGAGAGCCGACGAAGAGGCCGCAGCCAGCGCAGCGGCGTCGCTTACTCCGGAGTTTCGGGTTCCGGGCGGCAGACGGACTTCCCGCTTCGTATTCTCGTACAATCGGACATGGTAGGAGCCATAATCGGTCGGCAGGGATTGACTATACGCCAAATTACACAGATGACGCGCGCACGAGTGGACGTTCACCGGAAAGACAACCTTGGTTCTGTGGAGAAAGCTATCACCATCTATGGCAATCCAGAGAATTGCACGAACGCCTGCAAGAAGATCCTGGAGGTCATGCAGAAAGAAGCTTACAGCATAAATAAGAGGTGAGTACTACCATAAAGAATTACTCCGAGAGGTGCCAGCGAAATCGCTTTTTTTTCGACCATAAATTCCATTTTCACGACAGTAATGTTGTTAGTTATCAATGTAAATGCAACGGTACTTTTTTCTCCGGAAAGACTACTGTATATCCTTTGCTTCTTATTTGGTAACCATATACCAAATCGCTGAGAACTAATTACCAAGTTTTCCTTTGTTTTTTTTTTTATATGGTTGAAATTATATAATAATACAATTAAAGAATTCTGGATCAGATATTAATACTTGTTGAGGATTATCGGTGACATTATATATTTCTCTATTGCAGCCCCGAGATCAGTTTGAAGATTCTCGCACACAATAACTTGATCGGACGAATAATCGGGAAGGGTGGTACTACGATCAAAAGAATCATGCAAGACACGGACACGAAAATCACCGTGAGCAGTATCAACGACATCAACAGCTTTAATCTCGAACGCATCATCACAGTTAAGGGCACCATCGACAACATGAGCAAAGCTGAATCCATGATCTCCAGCAAATTGCGCCAAAGCTACGAGAACGATTTACAAGCAATGGCCGTAAGTGTTGTATATGCGACGTTGCTGCACAGAAAAAGTAAATATTAAGAGTGACACGTAACAATCGTATATTTCTATTATAGCCACAAAGCATGATGTTCCCTGGCTTGCACCCGATGGCCATGATGTCCACCGCTGGTATGGGATACAGCTCACGTGGTCCTGGCTTGTATGGCTCTGGACCCGCCCCATATCCCTACCAAGCTAGCTTGCCGACTCAACAGGGTGTTCCTGCCACCGACACTCAGGAAACAGCGTTCCTTTACATTCCTAACAGTAGCGTAGGCGCCATTATCGGTACCAAGGGTTCACACGTTAGAAATATTATCAGATTTTCCGGAGCTAGCGTGAAAATTGCGCCGCTCGAACAAGATAAACCAGCGGATCAACAAACTGAAAGGAAAGTGACCATCCTCGGATCGCCTGAATCTCAATGGAAGGTGAGATTCGCGTGCTTGCTATACAACTGTTGATTTAAAAGAAAATTTAGTTTCATAACGATCATAATTATAATTACAAAATCTTTGTCGTAAGCTGATATCAATGAACAAAGAGGTACGACTAGGTTTATATTATTTTTATATAATAATATCTTCGCGTAGCGTTTCATTTTGCATGGCTGGTTTCATTGTATAATAAACGAACGTACGATAAAATTCATATAGAGTGTATAAAGATCCGTGACTAAATTTGACCCTTTCGTATTAAAAGAACGTTACTTATCAGTCATATGGTTTAAATTCATCATTATTGGTTAAACATGAGGCATATTTTCCTGTAGGATAAATTTATTAAAACTGGTATTATTATTATTCCGGGTTGTTTATATAAATATTTTATTTGAAAAGAGAAATAATGAACAACAGACTAATTTTGTGAAAAATAATTTAACGAAGGTAAAAGAATACTGACCACGTAAAGTATAGATTATGGATATGATTTTCTAACTACTATTAGAATACTAGAGCCCTTCGTGGCTCTGTGACTTGACGCTTGTCTTCGATTCTCGAGGTCCCGAGTTCGTTTCCCCGTACTTTGAGAAAAGTTTCGTACCGGTTTTTTCCGATTAAAATTATCTTGAATCGTATTTATAAAAGCCGCCATACTGTACGTAGAGTAATTAATAACAACACAACACCACCCTGCTCAATTTTGGATAGATGCTGTTTTCCATAAGCATGTATTTGATGTAGCAGGAAAAGGAAATACCGAAGTTTTGTTTACCCGTGCCAACGTCACGTGATCAATTGTGTATAGTTGGTCCCGTCAATATCACTTCGACACATTATTTTGATTAATCCAAGTAAATTATTTCGATGCAAGCAAAGTCTCATTTTTAACCCTTAATTTTTTATAGTCGTGAATGCACAACCGATCCAATAATGGAACTAACGAAATTTTCTATTTTTTGTATAATTGAAAACGTTGTTTGGAATTGTGTGCAGCAACGATCTGACAGAAACGATTGGTTTTGGTTTCAGGCGCAATACTTGATCTTCGAAAAAATGCGCGAGGAAGGGTTCGTTTCAGGTACTGACGACGTCAGACTGACGGTCGAGATCTTAGTACCGAGCGCCCAAGTCGGCCGAATCATCGGCAAAGGCGGACAAAACGTTAGAGAATTGCAACGTGTAACTGGAAGTGTCATAAAGCTGTCGGAACAACAATCGACATCTCCTTCTGCCGACGAAGAGGCCACCGTCCATATAATTGGCCCCTTCTTCTCTGTTCAGGTATTCCTCGTCCTTGAGTTAGCTTTCTTTTTAACCCTTTTATACCTGAAGCTTCTTTCTAAGCAATCTTCATCATCAAAGAAAATACATATTATATTCCATAACATTATTGGCTTAAACTATCACGCGCAGATATATTACCATCGGGTTCGGAAGTGGATAATTTTTATTTAAAAATTAGATATTCAAATTACATGCACTTACGATTCGACATCTATAATAAATTGTTCAATTGAAACAGTCGTGCACATATATAATGAAAAGAAAGCAAATAATTTACAGCGACTCTATTACCATCGGGTTCGGAAGAGGAACATAATAATTTTTATTTAAAAATTAAATATTCAAATTACATACACTCGATTCGATATCTGTAATAAATTGCTCAATTTAAACAGTCGTGAAAGAAGAGAAAAAAATGAAAAAGTGAATAATTTACAGCGACTCCAGCGGGCTCTACAGAATTGCAAAACCGTATACGGATTAATGTCTTTCAAGTCTTTGGCACAAAGTGACCGTAATTTAAAATAAATTTGTTTTCTATCATTTTTCATCGCAATCAGGGAAATAATACTGTTTCCCTTTTATGGATGACGCGGAAGTCGATGGTGGGGGGTCGATGGACACGTAAGATATCCATTAATTCTCATTTTGGTCTGTTCACAGTCGGCACAGAGAAGAATTCGCTCTATGGTCCTACAGTCCGGTGCACCTGGAGCAGGTGCTGGCTCGCGCGCTGGTCGTGGTAGCAGCCAAGAAGGTGGTTCCCGCACCCGAAGAGATGGCAGTGCCACGTCTCAACAAGGTGGCACATCGACGCAACAGCATTCGCCTCAGCAGCAATCGAGCTCCTCGCCATCCAGCCAGCAACAACAACCACAAAATCAGTAACGTCACTGAAACTTACCTGACGCCAACCAACGCCTCACAGGATCCGTTTTATTCGTCGGGGTGGCCTCGTCGCTTTGACATTCTCTCGTCATGAGGCTACGTGCAACCTCCTTCTCGCGGGGCACGTATCCTTCGAGATTCTCACAGAGCGGCCGAGCGATGTGCAGAGAGCATGAAAGGCACACGCGAACGCTTTCTATCGAGATTCAGAATAATCATGCAATAGGAGTCGATATTATTCTTCAAAATCATCCATTTGGTTCAGAACGGGTAAGAGAGAGAGAAAGAAAGAAAGTGAGAGAGAGTGAGAGAAGAGGGGCTACGGTCGATGGCGTTTCTTTCTATTGTTATTATTCCTTTTGTTTGCATTTTTTTTTCTTCTTTTTTTCTTTTTAATTCGCGCAAATACACCAAAGAGTGGGCGCGTACTTTTCGCGATTTTTCGATACCGTAGAGAACACGCGTAGCGTGCCTTTTTATATGGGTTTTGTAGCGGAACGCCAAAAAAAAAATTATCATTGTTGTCTCATCGCCATCGATCGTGACCTAGCGTCTGCGTCGCAACGAGTTTCGCAGCTCGAAGTTATAGAAAGGCTAATAAAAGCGACGCAAATACCGCGTGTGGAACCAGTTGGAAGTGCACGTCATCTAACGAAAACGTGTCACGCGAGACGAGGTGAGAGAAAAAGTTTCGGTACCTGTCCGTGCAGAGCAGAGACAACGCTAGAAATTCCATTCTCCTTCGAAGCGACATACCCATTCACCCAACCGTGCACAACATCATACACGTATACCACACGCACACATCGTTTTCTCACCTCTTCTACGCGCGAACGCGTGCGTTTTCGTTGCGAGTTCGGTCATTCGGGGTTGAAGCGACGGGTGATAATTCGAACGAATCGATTTCGCAGCGTTAAACGAAACCACCTCGTCGATGAAACAGGATACATAATACGATGATAAGAAAAAAAAAGCATACACAACCTTATTACCTCATTCATTATGGTTAAAGATTTAAATATGATAAAGAAAAGTGAAACGAGAGAAAGGATAAAAACCAACTAATCTAAAAAAAAAAAAAAGAAAGAAGTCTACCTAATATTAAAGTTATAATAATATACAGAGAGGTTAAGTAACGATTACACATTACGTTATACATGTTACTACTACTGCTAATTAACTACTACTTACTTCTGCTAAGTACTACAGAGAAAAGGCGGTTTTTTTTCGTTTTTTTTTTTCTTTCTTAAAAAAAGGAAAAAGAAAAGAACTACTACTCTAGGTACAGTTTTTTATACCACACAACTCAGAGACATTTAAAAAAAAAAAACAAAAAACAAAAAAGCTCAAAAAAAAAAACGAAACAAACGGGACTTAAATCGGAAGAATGTGAGCGAAACGTGACGCACGTTCTACAGTTTTAGACGTATAAGCCAGGAAGTTTCTGAAGCGGATGGGCGTCCTCGGCCCCCGCGGTTCCCGCCTGTGCCCCTCTCACCACCCGTAATACCAAAGAAGCGATTATGAGTTTTTTTCGTATTAGTGAAGTGAAATAATGCGCGACACGCGCGTAACGTCGTCGTGCGCGCTGTACTCGCCTCAAGTTCCTTGCAAGAGCCAACAAGTGAGAGGGGTCAGAGACACACACGCGTCTGCGGGGAGAATCGACGAGTGGTTATTGACGTCGGACACACGGCAGGATGGGGATGAAGGAAACCGACGAGAAACGTCATCGGATCGCGTTTGGCGAGAGAAATAATAATAAAAAAAAAAACGAAGCGATCGGATAGGAGAGAAGACGGTGTCAGAGAACGAAAGAGAGAGAAAGAGAGGAGGAAGGGAATCAGACGTTGATAGAATACGGAATACGCACGCGAAACGGCCGCGCTGTTGTTTCGTGCTACGAGAAGGATGTTAGAGAGAGAGAGAGAGAATGAAAAAGCGACCGTTGGCACGCACGATGAAGCGAGAAGCCGCGAGCGAAGAGGGGGGGACAAGAGACATGAGAGAGAGAGAGAGAGAGAGAGAGAGAGAGAGAGAGAGAGAGAGAGAAAGAGAGGGGGAAGAAAGAAAAGGAACGAAAAGGAAGCAAAACCACAAAACTTTTTCAGGGATTTTTACTTTACCATGGATGTAATAATGTGTGAGTGTGCGTGTGTTGAATAATACTATTAATTGATAAGTGATTAATTACTGATTAGGCGTATATACGGCAAGGGAAGATTTTTAGGCTTATCGAGGAAAGGAACACGGAAAAAAATAAGTGTTTTTTTTTTATATTTTTTTTTTTTTTGTGGAGGGGAAGAGCGATTCTTTGACGAGGATACAAATTTCCGTATCTTCGTGACGATCGTGTGTGCCGCTCTTCGCCTCGTGGTGCGCGAGCACGCGAATCGCCAGCGAGTTGACGACTTTAAAGAAAAAAAATAACGCGAATTTTACTCCGTTGTTACCTGGACTTTGTAAATTCTCTGTAACTTCTGTTTCTTCCCCGTTCTTCTTTTCGTTTCCTCCTAATTATATACATTGTAGTCGTAAAGAGTTTAGGGGTAGCTAAATTCGTCGACAGAAACTCGCAGCGATGTCGCGACTCCAGCCCACGGCGCGCATTTCCAATCGATCACGATCATTCCGGGCGACACGAGTATTCGAGGAATTGATCTTTTTAAAACCGCGGAACACTCGTGACCGATTGCGCGCGACTCGTAACTCTTTAAGTTCTGATCTATGGGAGACACGAGAAAACTACGAGGATACGAATAGAGTTCGCGCGTGCAACGTACGGGCAGAAAAGCGTTTTTTCAATCGAAACGGAAAGATCGATCGCGTAAGAGATGTTAAAGAGGAAGAAAAAAAGAAAATATGGAAACTAAATGGTTCGGGACTTGAGTAGAGAGGATGGATTTTACACGATTATGGGACTTGGGAGTCGAAAAAATCTCACCGAACGTGGCTGTTTGTGGCCGCGTTCCCGGTGATCTATCAATGCGACCAAAAAGAAGCGAAAAATTAACGGACTGACAAGACGCGCGATAACGCGCCACGATGATCGTTCGCGAGATCGAGCAACTTCCATTTGTACACCTTCGACGATCGAAATTAATTTCGCGAACGATCGTGGCGAGTCGTCGACGCTCAACTTTAGCACGCTGAATCTCCATTCCGGGATTCGGTGTTCAATTTCACGGCATTCGGTATGCGTTTAGTACAAAAATACACGAGTTTAAAAAGCGGGTGGGAATGAATAAATCCAGTTTTGCGAGTGAAACGTGTAAGACAGGTGGGAAAGATATATCGCGTGTTACAGTTTTTTGTTTATCGAGGAAGTAAATCGAGAAGAGTGAGGAACAGAGCGAAGAAAAGGACTTCCGAAGTGCGCGCACGAAATATATCGATACCGATAAAAAAAAAGAATCGGGAGAATCAAAGAGGCGGAATTGCAACTTTGTTCTCTGCCTTTTTCTCGATAAGAAACGAGAGGGAAGTGCGAGTCCACGGAAGACGCGGATAAAAAGTGAAAAACACCCGGATTCGAGGCAAGAATGGAAAAACAAAAACGATTTTTTTAAAGAAAAAAAGTGAGAGAGAAATGGATAATGGATAGTGATGGAAAAAGAAAAATAGACGGGAAAGAGGAACGACGCGAGAGAGTATAAAAAAATGGGATGGGAAAGATAAGAAAAGAAAAATGAATCTAAGAGTATAAGTTTATTTTTGATACATTGTTGGGGAGATCTAAGTGAATCTTTCTTTTTCAATTTTTTTTGTTAGATGTTTTTAATAACTTAATGAATTTTAACGATATTGAAAGCGAGGCGCGAGGATGGAAGGCGAAAAACAGTTTTTTAATAGAGATAAGAGATAAGAGAAACGCGGAGGACAAAAAAGAAAAAACGATGAAGAAGCGAAGCGAAGTGTTTTTCGTGACAAAAAAAAAATGAAAAAGAAAAAAGAGTAATTAATTTAAAAGAGTAACGAATAAAAAAAAAATAAAAAAAATGATGTGAAGAGAGAGAGAGAGAGAGAGAGAGAGAGAGAAAGAGAGGATGATGTGAAAGATGATTTAAAGAGGACGGCGCGCAGCTTTTTGCGCTGTGCGCGTCTGTCGCTCGTCAGGGGGGAATAAAGGAGATTTTTAGTCGGATAAATTGTATAATATATTTAATATATTTGGAGGAAACGGCGGCGCTAGGTCCGCTCGGCGAGGACGTGATCTGCGATGGCGAGCGACAGGACGATCGGGCTCGCAGTTTTATGCGACGCGATTATTCGCCGTTGTCGCCGCCTGGAAAAGCCTTTCTCGCCCGCAGGCCTTCGCTTCCGTATTTATTTATCAAGCGTAAATATTTAATGAAAAAAAAAAAAGGATGAATAACATTTGTAGAAATGAAAACGATGAAAGTGCCAAGGAACAAAAAACAATATGCACACATAAAAAGACCCTATAGCAAACCGGTAGCCATTTTCATAGAAGAAAAAAAAAGAACGTAAACAAAGTAAACCATAGAGCCTCAAAAAAGTAAATAGATCACATCTCACGCCCATAGAAAAGCAGATTTATACGCAAGGAGAGGAAACACGCTACAAAAGTCATCACCGTTTACAAAAAAAAAAAAACTAAACAAAATTCGCTTCACCGTTACGAGAGAAATCATTTACGCTACTTCGAGATTCACTTGACGCTCCTTTTTCCTGAAAACGATCCACGCGACGCGTTGGACGGTAAATTGTTTTTTTTTTCGGCCGAAAATAAATCAAAAAAGAAAAGAAAAGAATTTTTCACGCGAACGATCCAGTCGCACGAAGAAACGCCAGAGAAGAAAGAAGGAGAATACGGAAAACAGAGAAGCACGACGCGAGTACGAAATACAATCGCTCTTTTCACAGAATTTCGTTGTTATTGGGGGAAAAAAAAAACCAACTTCGATCCAACAACGAAAACCAACGCCCCCCTTTTCGGAATATCTCTTTGTATTTGTCTAAGTAAGAAAAAAAAAATGGTAAAAAAATGTTAAAAAAAAAAATTTTTTTTGAGAGTTCGCGATCCGTAAATCTGCCCCGCACGTGAATTTTTTCACACCTTTCGCTCGTTCATCGATCTTTGATTCATTTTTTTCGTCGCGCAAATTCTTGGAACGAAAAGTTCAACGGTAACGAAGATGAGAAAAAAGAAGAAAAAAAAAATGAAATCCGGAGTCTCAATAGCATAGGACGAAAAAAGAAGTTTAAACTCGAGAAGCTCAAAGACACCCTCAAGACTTCATTACTCGCTCACAGTTAGTTCTTGCACTCCATCGCAAAAGAGAATTAAAAAAAAAAAAAAAAAGGAAACACGAGGAAAAGAAATTTTCGGCATCGAAAACTAAACGCAAAAATGGAAACACGTAAAATGGATTTTTACAACCCCGTCAGAAAACGCAAACGCGAAAAAGAGAAGCACTGAAAAAAATAAATAAAATAAATAAAGGAGAAACGAGGCGAGAACTACCTTTTTTTTCGGCTGGATATTCCTCAGCACAAGCACCTTCAATCGCCAAGAATGGAGAGAATGGAAAAAGATTGAGAGATTTGAAGAGAATGTGGCAAGCTCGCTCGCACGCTCGGGAGAATGTACAAATCAAACAAGGTAACAAAAAATGAAAAAATGAAGATTAAATAGAAATTATTAATATAATAATAACTTAAATGAAGAGAGAAGATTTTTAACGTTATAAATTATTATGCGCGCGAATTAAGAAGGGCGAGGAGTAACTTAATCTACTTGGGTAAGGAATACCAACAAAACAAATGTACAAAATCGATTTATCGCTAAATCTAAATGTTAGTATTCTAGAATATTTTACCGTGAGAAAATCGTGCTTATCGATTAGAATTGAGGAAATTAAAGTAAGCTCGGCGCTTAAGTTTAAGATTACGCATGTATCCCGCGGAACGAGGAGAGAGAGTGAGAGAGTGACATTTAAAAAAAAAGAAAAAGAAAAAAAAAGAAAAGATCGTATTTCGAGCATCGGATTTCAAAAAAAAAAAAGCAAAAACAACCGCCGACAATGGAATGGAAAAAACAATCTTTCTTATCGAAGTAACGAGACGTGCGTAACTTCAACTATCGTTCAAGCCTCGACGAAACGAAGAAAGGGGAGATAAAAAAAAAAAAATAGAAAGCTTCTTTCTTTTTTTACGAACGTCCAAATATCGTCGACGTATCTCCGACAACTGTTGTTAAGCTTTATCAACATTTTTATCGCGTACTTCGTACCAAACCGTTTATATAAGATAGCGTGAATCTTTTGTACGTTTTTTACGGAACATTTTTCGAAACGCTCTTCTTACCACGATAAAAACAATCGTAGAATAACAGGATGACCTCTTGGAAAAACCGAGCACGAACAATTCGCAGGAGAAGAGAGATCGTTACGACGATGGACGGAAAGGGACGTCGCGGTAAGAAAGAGGTACACAGGATGCAAACTCAAAACGAAATCGCTGAAATTGAAAGGAAATAAGGATATACGCGCGTCTAACGCGTAACAGCTACGCGATTCGCGGCAAACTAATTTCGATGGGTAAACAAAAAGGGAAAAAAAAAAAAATGAAAGGAAAAAATGGCAAAAATGGAGAAGGTAAAAAAAAGGAAAACTAACTCCGGACAAGACGAAGACACAGATATATACCAGCGGCCGTCTCACGACGAGGCGGTCCTAGACAAAACGAAAAATCTTCCATTTCCGCACACGATTGTAGATGATTCAGAGACGGCT